TCTAAAGCAGGTGTAGAGAAGGGAGAGAAGACAGGGAGCTCTGCTCCTTCATATGCTACTCATAAAGGCCAATCCCCACTGATGCCTCTGCAAATGGATGCTTTACTCTCTCTCCCACCTCTGTTTGGAATCAAGGCAATTTGAGTGAGCAGAAGACATAAGGAGGACTAAATAGCCATTAAAAGTCTCAAATGGCTCTTATTAACCTGTCTCTCATCTTTTTGGACATTTTTACAGGTACTCCTCCACTTCAAGGGAGGGATGTAAACTGGAAAAATAACAACTTTCTAAATCTACCACAAAGTCAAGAATATTAAAGCACGCTAGGGATGGATCCAATCTATTCTAAATAGCTCTAATGTTAATAGAGGAGACTTCTTAATGCCTCTGAGATTATCTTTTTGTTAGCCCTAGAGATAGTTCATTTGCCTTTGCTAGAGTGTTTCCAGTGAGCAGTCAAATTAGATTAAATCTATGTCAGTGCAACACTTCTAAATATGTTTTACATGTTTTGAGCAAACGACAAATTTATGCAATATACATTTGCTGGTCACTGTGTATAATTGAAACCAGTTGCATCTCGCATTCTGGCATTGGTAATTATTGCAGTTCAGATCAGCTATATCAAAGCCTGTCTGCATCCTCACAGCCTGTTGAATGGTACCTGAGAGCAAGCTGTGCTGTAGGCCATATGAGCTTGAATGTGTCTAGGAGTCACAAGAGAGACAATTACATGAAAGGAGGAACACTACTGCAATATTTCTTGCGGCCTAGGCTTGGGTTGCAAGCTGTCATGTTTTACACAAGCACAAAAATAATAAAAAGAAAAGCAGATAATGTGCAAAGCCATGCTAGTCTGTGCAAGACTGTCCTTACTTCTAATTCTGACTGGAAACTCTGTGAACATTGCTTCCTTCTCTAGCAGAGTGGATTGTAAATCAGTTACAGGAGTAAGCTGAAGAAGAAAGCAATATCATATATCAAGATTATGCCATAGATTATTACTTCATACTGTTGTTAGAGATTCCTGTATCTCCTTATTTTTCAAAGATAAGGTTATCCAAGATGCTCCAACTACATTTGACATTGTAGTGTCCATCATGAAGATTTAATGCACAGACCTTTCCTTTGGCACACTCTGCAAAAGATTGTAACACTTCCTGCCTAAAATACAACTAACTTTTAGGAAGTAGAAAAGAAACAGCAAGAAAATGCCCTCTTAATTACTTTTCAAAGGATACTAGTGCCTTTGGTTATTCACAGTGACTTACTTTTGGTTTGTATTGCTTACCCCAAATTTATGATTACCCTTTCTGGAGTGGTCTGCCTGCCACACAATCAAGGTGATAGTAGTCAAATTTTTAAATAACGAGTTGAAGACAAACAGAGGCCCACCCAGCCATATCTGTGAAAGTGCAGGAAAGATAGGCTCCATAATACAAGTGTACACTTTATCGGCTGGTAGGCAGCTGTAGAAACAGTCTTTAGAGAACAGTTGGTCATGCAAGCAGAATACTGCTGTTACAAGTGAGACAGATGTCACTGACAGCTAGGAAGCTCTCTGACTGCATACTGAGTACTTACATAGTGTTCAAAATATAACCATCTATTTTCTATTACAGTTGTTAAAGATTGGTGTTCTGTAGTACTTGCATATCTGTGCAATCACTGGAATCAGACCTGATACATGATTAGAGTAATAAGATTTTTACTTTTTCTCTGGAAGATGGTTGGTGAGCAGGAAATAGACTTTAGGCTCTGAGCAGAAAAGCTGCATTCTAAAATCATTTTATAAGACATTATGTCCCTTCTAGACTTCAGATATCTATGTACATGGTAAAGGTTAGACCACAATTTAAGATTGTGAAGTTCTTTTTTTTTTTTTTTTGGCATATGAAACCTGAAGCTTACCAAAGGAAAATGTAGATGCAAATGAGAACCATTTTTATGTCCACCAGGTTCTGTGTATGGACATTTCTTATTTGTCGTTCCAAACAGTTTCCATTTTTGACTGTGAAGGGAGAACTAGCAAGAAAGAAATATTTAATGTTGTATTTTATACCTTCTACCATTTTCAGGTTTTAGGGTCATTAAAAATTACAGTTCATGAGCATAGGTCAGTATAGTTGTCCTTTTTTTCTGTTCTGACTTGATTTTTTAAAATTTTATTTGAAAAACACACACCAGACTATACAGTGGTCTGTAGCAGTAAAAAAAAGGATAGCCTGTGAAAGTGCTTACTGATAACGCAATTACACTAAATGCTTGCCATAATGAATTCAGTTACAGAAAAATAATTTTTGTAATTTCTGGACTGATCCAGGCCTAGATCAGCTTTTGGGCCAAGTTCATGCAAAAAGTCCACAATACTTTTCCTCATGACTTTTGTAGAATAATACTTGCATATGATGAATCACAGTTTTCTGAGCTTCAGTAATAATGGCCTGGAGACTTCTTGTAAGGGAGTGAGCACACCTGGATTTAATATTAGTATTTTTCCCCGAAGTCAAGCAAACTGGATTAGGTAAGAGCACATATTATTTCAGTTGTCACATGATCTGAGCTTTACAATCAGTATAGAACCAAAACCTCATGTTTATAAGATATAGTAAAATGTAGCTTTTCTCCACGCTTGAAATTTTCCAGATAAATCATTAAGTGAAATGCAGTTTATAACTTATGATGTAAAATGTTTTATATCATCCAAATATGTTTTTGAGGGTATGTAATATAATTTCTATGAAATATTTGTCATTGTAGTGATAGCCAGCAGATACAAAAATACATTCTTTTTAACAACATAATTGTTAGCATATGCCAGATTCTTTAGACATTCTTATTTTGAAAAGTGTGAGCAAAAGATCCAGCTTTCAAACGTGTCTTAGTTATTGCTCAGGCTCTCACTGAAGTTGAATCAAAATTCCCTGTTCTAGAATCATAAAATCATAGAATCAATTGGGTTGGAAAAAGACCTCCAAAATCATCAAATCCAACCCTTGACCCAACACGACTGTGGTTACTAGAAAATAGCAGTATATCTTCACATACTAGCAATTGGGTTAATTTTTCTTCAGGTATAATGCCTTAGTAAATGATTCTACTTTTGCTAGTTAAACTTACATCTCTTAATAAAAAAAAAAGTTATTCTAAGAAGTAACTGGAAAAAAAAAAGAAAACAACCCTCATGGATTTCCCTTCACAGAAGGGTCACACTGAAGCTCCACAAATTTGTGTTCTTAGGAAATGAGGGGCCAAATATTAACAGAAATTAGTTTTCTACTTCTGTCCCATTTGCATTATCTCCTCCTCTGGCTCTTCAAGTACTCAGTATTAAAGACCTATTTGTAAATTTACTGTGAATTTATTTGAAGTTGACAGCCATGAAAGAGACAAAATAGACTTTTTTTTAATTGATAAAAATACCAGCCTTAACCTTGATAAAAAAAATAAAAACAGTCTTATAGGAACAAAAAGAAAAATTTCCTTAGAATAACAGTTACATGGTCTTTATTTTGGTATTTTTTATTGTTGTTATTAATGAAGGCTTTTTTCACTTATTAATAGTTGTTTCTTATGAAAATAAGGCACAAGAACTATTAAACTTTTTATGGGTTTTACAAAATTATCAGCATTACAGTAGCATTTTCTTAGTGAAGCCCTTTGAAGCTCAGATAATACATGTGAGCTGGAAGATAAGTCCTTACACTTATTTAGTAATCACTATGTTGTGAACTGGTGGCATAATGCAGACAAAACAAAAATCTAAAAGAGCAAACTGTTTTTTAAACTATTACTTTCAAAGCACAGTATAAAAGGAGGATGGCACATGTATTCGGTGATGGTTTTGAAATTGCCATTATCGTTGTTGCAGAGAATCTAAGCTTTTGGAAGACTTTTAAACAGTTTAGCAAAGAACAAGGGGAAGGGGAAAAAAAAAGGAGGGGGGAAAGAAGGCAAAGTTTTGCAATGGAATATAAACGTGGAGAATCATCTAGAGACTTTAGTGGCACATTTGTTAGAAAGCCTTTCTTCAGACATCTTGGTTGAAAGAAAATAATGAGGCACTAATATAAGCAGAGAGTGTTCTGACCAACCACAGAAAATGATCCTCAGATAAACTGAGGTTAATCCCTTCAGAATGAAAGATTTGCATACATATTGCTGTATGCTGATAGATATTAAGGCAGCGGGGACAAAAAAGAATTCTGATGTTTTCACACATTTATCTTCTATTAGGATGGTTAATTAGCACACATGAGATATTAATTAGAAAGTTTGTACTGCATATCAGTTTAAGTCTGTAATAGGATGACAGATAAGATTGATTTATAGTCTCTGATTTCCAGAAGTACCACTAAACTATCATATGAAACATTACACCTAAAACCACTTTCATTGCAACAGCCAACCAGTCACCTATGCATACGCAGTGTCTTCTCAAATAGCTTTTGCACAGTTTCCATATAGTGAATAAAAAGTGCATAAAAGCATTGTTCGTCAGTACCAAATCATAAGTCTTCAGTTTCTCTGCATAGCTAGGATTTAAAAATTATTTTTATGTGTGCTTATGTCTCCTCCTGAGGGAGAAACAGCAAAACTGAAAGGCATAGAAAACCAGTCACTTAATAAATGTCATACATGACCTGGGACAAAAATAAAAATTGACCTCTTGCCCATTTTACTTTATAGCAAGTTGTTGACAGCATGATGAACTCAACGATTTCCTCTTCTAGATTTCTTTCTTTATTCCCGCACCATTTCTTGTAGGAAGATTGTTGTTAAATTTCAACCATCTCAAATAGGATCTTTATTGCTTTAGCTGATACAGTCTTAATGTGGTAGACTCCGAAGTAGGTGTGTGCCTGAGGTCGTACAGCCTGCTGCAGCCATCAAGGAAACAGCAGCGAGTTCAGATCGACCACTGCTGTAAACAGTGACTAACAAAGTAGAGCTCTGCTGCTTTAAGGACTAATTAGAAACTTACAAGAAAAACAGGCAGTTCCACTGGCGGTAAGAAAAGGACTTCTAAACAACATTCCCATATTTGCTAGTTAAAGATCTGGATCATTGCCCAAAACTTTGTGTGTGTTTGCATGTGGGAGTGAAGGAGAGCAGTAGGTAATTGTTGTATTTTTCTCTTCCAGAGCTTTTTTAGTTGCTTGTTTTCAGCTGTAACTGGAGCAGTTTCATCCTAGGGTCAGAAAAAACCCAAAAGTTAGTTGTGAATTTTGTGTGTCAGTATCAGATGAAAGGGATTGTTCCTCAGGGTAGCCAAGACTGAATATTTTACCTGCTAAGTAAAAGTTTTCACTATTTTGCTTTATGATTCCGCCATCTGTGTACATTTCAATGTGAATGTTTCTCCATCTTTGGGGATAGTTCTTGTACTCTCTTTTTATTCGTTTTTTTCCATCTTTCCTTGCTGTCTAATTGTGTATGCAGCTTTTGCAGAAGACAATTCACTGTTCCTCAGTCTGCTGGAAGGGATTGTAAGGTTGTTAAGGATTACACTTCCTGCCTCTCTTCTAATAGTAAGTAACTTTGGAGAATTTCATCCAATAGGCATGTTTTTTTTCTTATGAAGTTTGTGATTTGCAGTTAATAGGTGATCTTTAAAGCTGTTCTCTTTCTCTTTTATTTCTAAATTGCTGCTCTCTGTTGAAATTTTCATATTATATATATATATTAACAAAATACCCATTGTGCCTGCTTTTAAACTACATATTTCAAAGACCTATATCATTGAGCAGAATTTCAATGAAACTGCAGAACCAGCTTTTGCATTATAAGCATTTATATAATTTTAATTATAGAACCAGCAGTATTCAGCCACAGATCTAACATATGTTAAAGGGAGAAAATAAATGGCTGTTTTATTTTCCTTTCCTGATACCTCATCTAGGCCCAACTAATAACCCAAATCTCCAAATTCCCAGTCCTTCAATGAGCTCTACCCTGAGAAACATCCCAGAATTTGACCTACAAGATGAATTTAATTTTAAGTACCTCCAGGTGTAGTCTGTTATTTTGGTTATACTGTTGTTTTAATATATTATGCAAACTCTACACTTTGCATTGGAGAGTATTTGTGAAATACAGACTCTGTTTCAACTTTTTGTTAGCAGTTACTGAAGTTTTACATCTACTTGTGGGACAGACACTGGTGAAATTTGGATTAAGCAGCACCAGTTTTGGTTTTGGGTTTTGTTTTGGCTGATTGAGTTTTTTTGGGTGGATCAGGAAGTCTGGTGAGTTCCAGCTTTTTCAATATTTGCATCAGAGAAGTATGTCCTCATCATTCAGGTAGGGTCATGACATCATAGAGTGGAACAATGAGTTCCAGTTGATGTTATTTTGCTCCAACACCATGGTTCAGCCAAGGACCTAAAACCTCCAGAAGATCCATAGGTTGCTATCATCTCCTATCTTTCTACAGGCTTACACTATTTTTCAACATGCCATGTGAATGGTGATGAACTGTGAATTCAGCAATGACCTTTGTGAAAAAATCTTCACCAAATCTACACCTTTTTAGTTTCAGCTGGTGAAAAGGGACAGCTGTCAGTATAGGTGGTCTGTAGAGCTATTGACACTGCTGAGTCCCGTTGCTGGTCTTAGAAAGGGTTGCAGTTGCCCAGATGCTATTGCTCCAGGTAGTTCAGAGACATGATTTACACCACTGTGCTCTTGTCACTGTGCATTCTTACTTAGCTACTTACTTGGCTACTTAGTATCACAGAATTGTTTGGGCTGGAAAGTACCATAAAGATCATCTAGATCCAACCCTCCCCTTCATTGCAGGGATACCACCAACTAGATCAGGTTGCTTAGAGCCCCATGCAATCTGGCCTTGAACACTTCCAGGGATGGGGGCATCCACAACTTCTCTGGGCAGCCTGTCCAGTGCATCCCCATCTTCACAGTAAAGAATTTCTTCCTGACATCTAATCTATATCTCTCCTCTATCGGTTTCAAACTGTTCCCCCTTTGTCCTATCACTATTTGCCTGTGTTGCAATCGGATATGTCTATCTCATATTGGCCTCATAAGCCACCAGCGTGCCTGTAACAAATGTGGATAGAGCCTTCCTAAATCTTCATTCACGAAGCCTAGTCATGATTTGCCTGTGTGAAAAGTTGCTCTCCCTTCTTTAAACGTGCTTCCTTTAGGTACTGAAAGGCCACAATGAGGTCCCCCCAGAGATTTCTCCAGGCTGAACAATGCCAGCTCTCTCAACCTGTCTTTGGCTGGAGAGGTGCTCCAGCCCTCTGATCACCTCCATTGCCCTCCTTTGGACCTGCTTCAACAGATCCATGTCTTTATTGTTCTAAGGACCCTAGACCTGGATGCAGTAGTATAGGCAGGTCTCACAAGGGCATAGTAGAGACAAAATCCCCTCCCTCAACTTGCTGACCAGTTACCTTTTGATGCAGCCCGGGATGTGGTTGGCATTCTGGGCCGTGAACACACATTGCCAGCTCATGTCCAGGTTTTCATCCATGAGAATCCCCAATTCTTTTTCTATAGGACTGCTCTCAGTGAGTTCTTCTATCAGTTTGTACTTGTGACTGGAATTGTCCTGACCCGAGGGCAGCACTTTGCACTTGGACTTGTTGAACTTCATGGGGTTCTTGTGGGCCCACTTCTCAAGCTTGTCTGGGTCCATCGGGATGGCATCCCTTCCTTTTGTTGTGTAAACTGCACCACGCGGCTTCATGTTATCTGCAAACCTCCTGTTGATGTCTTGATGAAGATATTGAAGAGAACCAGTCTGAGCCCTGAAAGACACCACTCCTCACTCGCCTCCGCCTGGAGGCTCCACAACAGCTGTCAACTGCAACTCTTTGGCGATGTCTCTCCAACCAATTTCTTATCCACTGGATAGTCTATCCATCATAGCCATGTCTCTCCAATTTGGAGATAAAATGTCATGTGGGACCACATCGAAGGCCTTACACAAACAAACAAAGGTATATGCCATCCATAGCTCTTTAGTTGTGGACCATTGCAGACACTCCATCATAGAAGGCTGCCAGATTGGCTAGGTACAGTTTGCCCTTAGTAAAGCTGTGTTGGCAGCCCTGGATCACCTCCTTGTCTTGCATGTGCCTTAACATTACTCTCATGAGTATCTACTCCATGATCTTGCTGGGCACAGAGATGAGTCTTGCCAGTGTGCAGTTCCCCAGATCTTCCTTTCTCTCCTTTTTAAAAAAAGAGAGCAATGTTTCCCTTTTTCCAGATAGCTGGGACTTCACCTGACCACCATGACTTTTCAAATATGATGGAAAATGGCTTGGCATCAACATCAGCCAGTTCCTTCCTGTTGCAGTAGGAACTTTTTTCCTAGTAACTTATTAGCACTTTCTTGCTTCAATTTAAGCACATTACTTTTTCTCTCCATGGATATGAATTACTCACTGTTTTCTTTACACCTTGCTACCTTTCACACAGTCAAGGACAACTGCTGTCTCCCATCATCTGTTTTATGACACATCTGTTTTTTCAGTCTTTCCTCGTGGGTCATCCTTCCCAAAAGTTTTAGCATTCTGACTGCGGTCTTTTGAAGCCTTTTAGATTTTATTGTACCTCACTCTGCGGTGTTATAGGAGTGTAAATCAGCCTAAGCACTGTCTCGTTGGCTTAAATTAACAGAAATAACATCACTTTTTCATTGCTTGTGGTACTTTGTTAGTAAGTATCCCCATATACTTCCCAGTAAATGGCATGCTATTTTTTTAGACAGTTAATTTTCCTTTCTGTATTTCTGCGTTTGATTTTTTTTCCTTCCTAAGTTTAGGGCTTTACATTTATTGTTATTGAATTTAGCTGTGCTGATTTCCGACTGTTTCTGCAATACTTTAGAGAGTATTTTAGTGTGATGTGATGCCCAGCTTTTAGTCCTGTGTTATCTAAATCATCATCCATGTTGTAAAATAAAGTATGTACTGGAACTAGACTGAGGAAAAATTAACTTGCTTCTCACAGTAAAATTTCTTTGTAATCTTCTTTTGAACTATTGATGACTATGCCTTGAATATGTTTTATTAACCAGTTCTGGAACCAGCTGTGATGATTCTATCTAGCCACTATCTCTTTACTTTGCTTATAGGAATGTCATGAGGGACAGTATCAAGAGCGTTACTGAACCAGTTAAACTATCACAGAAAAGCATTAGATTTGCTTTATGTGACTGCCCTTTGATAAATCCATATTGGCTGTTCATCATCTCCTAATAATTGCCAATAATACACCAATAATTGCCAAACTTTTTGGACCATAGTTTTCTACAGTCCACATTTTCTGGTTGCACACCATGCACTTCATCATCAGACTATTGACAAACAGGCATGTCTAAGGTGATGTACATTTTAATGTTTAGTGAAGTTTCATGCTCCCCTTGCTGTGGATGGAAACCACAGGGTTTTTCTCAGATTTTTCAGTGACTTGCCTTCATTTCTTATTGCCTTCTTTTCTTATGGCTTTTTAGCACATAAATAGACCTTGTTGCAGCTAAGGGTGACTGTAAAGCTCTCCTCAAAATCAGACAGGGCTGCTGTACAGACAAGGAGGGTAAAAGTATAGCCATGGCATAGATGGACTGCAGCCTCCACAAAAGCTAGGGCATGACATGCACTAGGTTAATATGAACCACCATTTTCCTGAAGGTACAAGGGACAGTGTCTAAGGTAGTTATTTGGTCAGAAAACAGGCATGTCACAGACAACAACCACTCTGGCATTATCAAAGAACCATCCAGAAGGACCTCTGTTTACACCTCACTTCTCAAGTTTTCCAGAGTTTCTATGCTTGTTTCTCCATGTCAGTGTACCTAACTTGTGCTTGTGGTTTAGTGTCTTTTAGCAGCTGTGTCTTTCAGTTGTATAATCCTAGCAGATCTAGCCAATCATTTCTGAATTGGTTCAAACAAATTTTACTGTCTTCTTAGTGTATTTTGCTGTTATTCTTACTGTATTTCTTCTCCCTTTCTTCCTTCAGTCACAGGAAAACTATGAAATCAATCAACTGAACTATTCTTATCAGAAAGTCACCATTATAGATTACAAAATTTGTTGTCCATTGGACTGATTTAGTTTGCAGGTTATTTCTACTGGTGAGACAGTGGAACTGATGTCAGTGCTCCTGAGAAATGTATTGCTCTCAATTAGCTGGCCTTGCACAAGCTTTTACCAGACAGCAAATTTGGCACTTCATCCATATTTGTGCTTCCTCTTGTGTAGTTGAAAATTCATACAGTTTTCTCTTCAAAGGGTCTGATGACCCCATATCTGGTGTAGTTCAGGGATGACTTATATAATTGTTTACAGCAGCAACTTCTGCAATAGACTTTTTTACATACATTAAGCCAACATCTGCTAGTACATGTGTTATTTTCATCAGTAACAGATACTTCTACACAAGGTAGAAACTGACTCTGTTTGCAGGAAATTAATAATTTTGAATAATTTGAGTTTTGTACATACATTCATTATCACAGATTATTTGCAGTGGAAAAACGAGTAACAGTACCCCTAATATACAAGCAGGTTTGTTTTGTTTGGTTTGGTTTTTTTTAATAGGTCAAAGATAATATAAGGAGTGCACAGAATTTGTTACTTTCCCTACATGGCTTGTTGCTTATATAATTATTGAATATCCTTTAAAAAAATCCCATTTTTATTTTTGGTATGTCAGTGATGAGTAGAAAATTCTCTTCCAAATGGACCTCTTCTCTTTGTAACTCTGGCTTTATTCTGTCTGCAATTACTTCTGCCTTCAGGTTGGAGCGATGTCCCACTCACACCTGGCATGGTCTTTTGGTCTACAAGGAACTACTCTCATTTATGCAAATTTTGTTTTCTCAATCAGGCCTAATACCTCTAATACCTTTAATACAATACCTTCTGTAAAGTGCCTGTCTCTTAACATGAGCAGAAATGCATTGAGCCATGTTTCGATTTTTGTCATGCTTGCTAAGAAAAGCAGTAGTAAGTGTCACAGAATAGGTACATAAGTCATAGGAATCAGGAGGCCACAGAGGAGAGAAAGTGTAGACCAAGCAGGCAGACTGTCCAGTGGTATCTGGTGCTTCTAAGATGTCTGTTAATGCTTCCTGGAGTTGGAAGAGTGTCATATGACAGGGAATGTCTTTTTACCTCTCTATTTTCCTGTCTCCCATTTGACTGCCCTGGTGGGCTGCAGGCTATTATTTTTAATTGAAATCTGCTTAACTGCATTTTGTGTTAAAAGTCTTATCCTGAACACTCATG